CCCCCCCCGAGCTAGGAATGTGACAGGGAAAACCTCATGATATCTCAATGATTATTCCCCCCGCAAAAATGTTAATTTCAATAGCTTTATCTGTGGTTTTGCCATTATTTTCATCAGTATCCAGTTTCCATTTATTAGTGCTCTCTGATGAATTGATAATTAATCGGCTCTTCTAAAAAAAAAATAAATATATATATATATCTATATCTATATCTATATATATAAAATATGCAGGTGATTGCTTGTCAGCTTAATGCTTGCTGATGAAGGGAATACTCTAGCACTACAAAGGCTTTTTATCTGGAGTATTTGCAATGAGCAGTAAAATGCAGAACTGAAAGTGAGGACAGGAGGGGGAAAAGGAAAAGACCTACAGGTCAGTGAGCATTTGGGTCTCGTGCTAATTAAATGGGGGACTCCATCAGCCCCTCACTGAGGAGTCTGCCTGCATCTTGGAGGTGAAGCACAAGATTCTAAAATAAAAAGGAAAAATTTTAAAGAATTGCTTGTTATTCTGTATTGGAGCATGACAGGTCAAAAAGATTAAAGAAAGTCAGGTGTGAGGAAAGTGTGCGAGGAGGTTTTAAGCAAGAGGGTAGGAAGACTGCAAGGATGACGCTGAGAAGGGATCTGGAAAAGTCTGAGGAGCATGTTGAAATCCTTCTGTATGTCATGCCTCGTGCTGCAAGTGGGGAGTACCCGGCACTCCTCTAATGCCGTCGACCTTTTTCTCTTGACAGTCTAACAAAGTGCCAGTTGTGCAGCACCCACACCATGTACACCCTCTTACGCCGCTTATCACGTACAGCAATGAGCACTTCACACCGGGAAACCCTCCTCCACACTTACCAGCCGACGTAGATCCCAAAACAGGTAGGTGGGAAATAGTTTGGAGTTTTTTGAGAGTGGGTAGGTGGATCTTTCCATTTTGTGTATTAAAGGAAGGAGTGCAGGAGGAAGGATTTCCCATGCTGCAGCACCAAAGGGGACATGTAAAATGTCAAACGCATGCAAGAACCCAGACAAAATAGTTTCTTTTTTAAGCCAATTAGGCTTCAGAAAGAAACCTACTGGGTGAATTTTCATAAAGCTTCTTCAGGGTGACACCAGAGTTGCATGTGTGGGGTCGTTTGCAGGTGTGTTTCTTTGCAATCATGTTACCCCACCTAGTAGTTCGATCTACCAAGTGCTTGGTTTGCATGCATGACCCAGAGAATTAAACATGTACGTTCTGTGATCTGCACTTACAAAATTGCAGCTGGAATTTTAAAGGTGGTGGGTCACGACCGGTTTCAAAATGAATCTCTTTTAATTCCCCAAATCCCATTGTTTCTGTGTCAGGAGTTCAGCCATTTTTCTCCTATAATGTTGAATTTTCATCCACTCTAACTACTTAGCTCTAGCTCTACACTTGCAACTCTTTTCCCCAGTGTAAGTCTACCCAACTCTCAGTTCAGCCTGAAGGGCAGTCTTCTTGAATATAGAGCACCGTGTAAAACCCTGACTAGATTTATTGGTGTTACAGAGTAGAATTTACATGTTATTCTAACTTTTTAAGAGTCCCTGTTTAACCTGAGGGCCCAGAGAAGTCAAACAGTGTCAATCTTCTTTCTTTGGGCTGCATTGAGTTCCTAGTGACAGTGGGGTTTTTTTTTGTTAATCTAAATCCCAGCTAGTTAATTGGAAAGTACGTTAGAAACTGAATTCATGTCAAAGGAATCTCTCTGTGTTGGCCTTAACGTATGCAGATAATTTATCTAAACTCCAGCCCTTGAATGAGGCTGTGCATTAGCTGGTTTTCACTCCCTGTGCTTCAACTGGGGGCCCCCTTTTAATTGTGCTTAATGCTAACTTCACATGGCTTAAAAGGAATCCATCTCACCATCCCTGGGTATTGCAAGTGAATGGCATAGTCAACCTCTCATTTAAATAATGGTAGTACAGGGAATAGCTTTTAAACGGTTATCGTAAAACATATGATTAACGTCTGTAGACTGTTTACTTTTCTTCTGTGAACATTCTTTCAAGTGTGCAAATAGCTCGCCGGATGGTTAAAGCCCAGTTAATCTGTTTGAGTTTTGTAATGGAGAAAAAGCAATGTCTGCATGAAAATGTCACACAAGGAGATTTAATTTAGAGATTAAAAGCTTCCCGAGTGACTTAAAAAAATAGTTTTTAGCCATGAATACACTACCCCTTCCTTTTAATGCTTTCTGTTTTCATTTTGCTTCTGCTGTGTAATTGTGCTTTGGCTTGTTAATTGAAAGACCCAGTCTTGTAACCCTTACTCCTCTGAGTAATGCCTACTTGCTCTTAAGGTAAGGAGTGTTAAGATTTCAGGCTTGTGTTTGGAGTGGGTTTCTGCTCTCCGAGTAGGAACTGCATCGATTTCAGAGAGGACGGGTGGGCTCTCTGTCCTCCCCTGCACACCTTCAGCATCTGCCCCTGGTTCCACCAGGTATTTCCAGGGGCTCTCACCTCCACCTAGGTTTCAGAAAAGGTTGCCTAGGTTTTCTCAAGAGCAAACATCATTTGCAATTACAATGACTCTGTAACTCATTTTGGAGGTTACTTTGGAGTAACACCATGCTGTTGAGTACCCAGCCAATGTATGGGTAGGGCCTATGCTCTTTTGGTGACTGAGACTAAAATAACCTTGAAGTGGATACAGGGACCATCTTTCTGTTGAGTGTTTAAGACAGCACCTAGCACAGCATCACACCAAAACTATAGCTGAGACTTCTAATTTTTTATTCTAAATAACAAAGTAATTATCTCCAATTGGAGAGGTGAATGAGGGAGGGAATCACATCAGTTTTTCTGGTTGAATCTCATTTAAAAATATGCAAGAGTCTCACTTTATAAAAGAAGGCTGTGAAACAGCCTTTGGAAACCCAAAGTGAAGCCATGACTGTTGTAATAAAAACGAATACATAGCAATTTAGAAACATATGTGCATTTTCCTATATTTTATTTATTTCCATGTCTCAGTACTAACGCTGCTTTATGTTCCTCTTCCATAGGAATTCCAAGGCCTCCACATCCTCCAGATATATCTCCTTATTATCCGTTATCACCAGGCACTGTAGGACAAATCCCCCATCCGCTAGGATGGTTAGTACCACAGTAAGGAGTTCCATTTTTTTAATTTCCTTTTTCTTTTTTGATGTGTAGAATTTATGTTAGAATTGTATATGTGTGTGTGTATGTGCGCAAGTGTGTGTGCATTGAGATAAGTCTGTTTGCCAACTGCCACTTTGTTGAGTGGTTATGAATTTACCTACCTCATGAAGTTTAATTAAAACTTATGCCAGGTCATGTGGTCTTAAACAAACAGGAGCAGTTGGACACAGCTTCGCATGTCATCTCAACCAGCTGATAGCTGGTGAAGCATGAATTTTTATACCCTTCTGCAGAAACATTCTTTTTTTGTTAATGGCCTTACACTGCGCAGTGTGTTTTTTTCTTCAAATTTGGTTTTCTGTGGGCTCAGGGTGGTTCTCATAGACTCTTTTTTTACCAGGACCATCCTCACTGTAAATGTGCAATTTTAAATTTCATTGGCCTTCCTCATTGAAACGCCTTTCGTTTTTCTTGTTGAAACAGTAGAGCTTTACATCGGCCAGTGAGCAGCATTCCTGGCTGAGATGTGGCTGGGCAGTTGGCATCTAAGGAATGGAATTTTCTTGCAAACAAGAAAGAGGAATTAGTTTACTTTAAAACTAGCTAAAAAAACCCCCATGGAAAGTTAGTTTGGGATTTTGTTTTCTTTTCAGCTCCTCGTATCCCACTTGCAGAGCCTTGTTGGGTATGAGGTTCCCCCCCATAACTAAGCTTTTTTTTTTTTCTTATGTTGCCATCTCTGCAATGGGTTTATAATGCACTTATGCACTGCCTAGGCCTTTTGTACAGTATATTTGATCTAAATGCTTACAAAATGCGTTTGTGTTGCTGGATACAACAGTTCTCTTGCATTATAAATCAAGACTACTACCCTATTTTTCTGACATAGCAACGGGCCTCATCAGTTTCGGGGAGATCATATTTCTTTAGAAATAAATTGCCCAAAGCTAGAAATAGTTTGTTCCTTGTCGAGGTTGTTTGGCCAGCTGTGCTAAAATACCTCTTCACAAGTTTGCCCTCCATAAGGAAGTGGAGTTCACACCCTGTAGGAGACCAGGGCAGAGCAGGGGGTCCACACACACCCCCAGCTCTCGGGCAGGGAGGGGGATTAGTGTCAAAGGCTTTGGGGGCCTTTCTCAAGCACGAAAGTGTGGATACAGGAGAGCTGGAGCTCAGACCTCAGCCACAGCAGCCTGCTTCTGGCCTCTTTGCAGACTGTCTTTCCTCACAGGATGGTCATGCAACTTGAGTAGAGGCTCTCCCACCCTGAGGGTGAAGCATGTCCATCTGCTCTCTGCAGAAGGCTGTTTCTCCAGAAGAGCACAGCATGAGCGGAAGAAAAACCCAGAGCATTGCTCCCTGAAATCTTAAATTCCTCCTCATTTGTGGTGATTTACTTTTTACATAGGACACCCTGAACGCTGGTAGAATGCATGTCAGCTCCTTTTCTTCTTTCTTGTGTGCAAGGCCTAGCTGCAGTACAGCCATTTCATGCTCCTTTGTTGCCACTGCTTAGATCAAGTTTGCACAGTAACAGCCTCAGCGTTTAAAACAAGTATCTAATGCCAAAAGTCAGTAACATTAAAGCCATGAGAGTGCACAGAAGAAATTCCTCACTGTGTTGACCAGTGCCTCGTTGCTCATCCGTGTCTCAGAGCCTTACACCTTTATGTGTGCAGACACAGGTTTGTCCTCCTTGAACCTCGTGTCGTGGCAGCCAAACCATGTGAATGTTGCCATGTGTGGCCAGTTTCATCAGGCAAGTGCTGATGGCCACCTCTGTCACAGGAAGACTCTTGTCATCATCGCTGCTGGTTTATAACACGTCAGCACCCATGGCTTACTTACCTACCCACAGCTCCTACGGCTTCTCCAAGTGGCTTTTGTTGAGGACTGATACTATCACATTTGCTTTTGCTCTAGGAGAGTAGCATGGCCAACCTTGCAGAAGTAACCCAAGGTTTTCACTTCCCCTCTCGTTGCCACTTATGCTTCACCATCAACTTCCCAACCCATCTATCCTCAACTGGCCTGGATATCTCTAGCATAGTACCCTCCCAGAAAGCATCCTGCCCAGTCAGATGATATATTTGAAGGACAGATGAAAAGAACTAGCCAGCACAGACAAACCTCAATCAGAAAAAGTTGTGTGTCTTTCATGAGGATGCTGTTTTGCATGTTGCTGTATTTTTTAATTATTGTAATGAGGTGTGATTGTCTATTGGTTACCCACAATACTTCTTGGGGACTCTCCCCCGGTAACTCTTGTCAACACTTGTTAATCTGACAAAAGGCTACAAATTAAGCTCTGTTAATTTAATGTTTTCTCACCGAGATCTAAATACCGAAAGAGGCCCAAAGCGCAACTGAAGTCCTTTGATTCACTGTACTTTATTTTGGTATAAATTTACATTCATTATTGTTTTCCTTTGGATGTGTAGCCCTCAATTAGTGTGATGGCTCCATTAAAGCAAGCGAGACTTCGCCTTTAATTATTACAACAAAACACCTAGTTTCAGCTTGGGGAGAGGGTCTCTATTGACATAAGCAGAGGTTATAAAATTTAATTAGCCATTCCTATCAGATTTATGGCATTCAAATTGTTCTGTGTTTCTTTCCTTTGATCCTTGCTGTACAATCCCCAAGATTTTTGTTCTGATCAAATGAGAATAAAGCTTACTGTGCAGAGAGAAGTTTTTTGTTGTTTTGTTTTTTTTTAAAAAAAAAACCTTTTTTCTTTCTCTCATTCTCCCTTTCCCTTCTTTTTTGCCAGGCAAGGTCAGCCAGTGTACCCAATCACAACAGGGGGTTTCCGCCACCCTTACCCAACAGCTCTGACCGTCAATGCTTCCATGTCAAGGTGAGTCCAAATGCTGAGGTCCTGAATTGAGAGCAAATGTAACTCCTTCTGCTGCCCTCTCTAGAGGAGGGCATTCCATCTATTTCTGAAGGCACTTCAGTTAAACAGTTATCCTTAGTTTTTTGGTGGGGTGGAGGAGGAGAGGACATGGGGTACCTTCCCACTGGAGAAGAGGGTTTCTTAGTGCTGTCATTTGGCCTTAAGAATTTGTTTTTGAGGGAGAGAGGTGGAGGAGCAGGAAGTCATCTTTAAAAGCCAAACTAAAATGAAAAAGCTGGGACAATGTGATGTTGAAAATGCAAGGAGAAGTCATGATACCTTCTGCTTTCTTGGTGGCTGTCACCCAGAGCAGCACTCTGTGTGTGAGAGGGGAGTCTCAGGAGGGAGGAGGGCTGTTCTTCAAGCGGAGTTGGGAGGAAGGTTACTGCACTATGTTTTCCCCTACCAAAGCTCCAAACTGTTAGTAACATAAAAGGGTCTGCCTGACCCTCTAAAGCTTTAGAAGTATATATTTCTCCCCCTCCCTACCTCCAATTAATTCCATCTAATTTACCAGGGGCTGCTAGTTTTATTTACAAACTGGTTGGCAGCACTATGTTTAAGTAATCACTAATTGCTCCTAATGATAGTTTTATTTTTCTGTTCATCTGATTTTCAGTCTGGTTAATTAAATCGGTGGAGGTTTAGACTTTCTTGATGGGCTGAAACAGCTAATCCATTTTGATGATGGCACATAATTAAATTAGCATGCATTACATAGCAAGGTTCCACGTCTCTTCCCTGCTCTCTCCCTTTCTCTCCATCTCTGCAGTTTGTTATTTGAAGGGTGGTGTACAGAGAATTTAAGGAGGAAAAGATTGGAGGGGGCACTGGGGAGAAAAACACCTTGTTGAGAAATGGAAACCTGTAACTAGAGCTTGTGAGTGAATGGGAGGGAAATAGTGTTGTGTGCTTTAGTAAGTAGAGTAAAAGCAAAAAATTAAAATTTGCTCATGTTGCTCCAACAAACAGAGATAACTAGAAAATCAACTTTGAAAAAAAAAAAAGAATAGACCCAGCACAGGAGAGAAAAAATCCTGGGTTGGGGAGAGAGCTGTAAATTTAAACAACGATTCCCTCCCTCCATTTAATCTTTTTTAATATCTATAAAAGACTTGCAGGCATGGTGTGAGGCAAAGTAGAGCTTGATTTAGTTTAATTATTATTAGAGAGGCTAGTCATTTGAGGGAGGGGGGAGATGTGGGAGGGGGGAGGCTATATTCCCAAGATAGGCTTTATGAAAGGTATCTAGTTAAAAAGAGTACACAGCAAATTAAATACATTATTGTGGTAATGGGACGACAGAAGTAGAGGTCTATTATACTTATGGCAGTTATAGGAAATGTAGGCTTCTTGCCCTGTTCTAGCACATCCTTTGATATTCATTCCATTCAGCAGCAGGGCCAGGACTTCTCAGAATTAAGTGATGGGTCATTATACTTTAAACACCATGGAGAAGCCTAGATTGGCAATTAAACAGCACTTGCTGACACTCGCTTGTGCCACCCTGTGACCCCCTTTAGATTGAGTTGTTGGAGCTCGGGGCCCTCAGCCTGCTAAATTGGTAGCAGGCACTTCTCCTGACGAGGGCTGGCTCTGAAATCTGCCGGCTTCAAAGGGAGCAAGATCATGTATAAACCATAATGTGGGTGCACCGTGGCTCAAAAAATAAGGCAGGAATAGATGAAATGTTACAAGTGCAAGGGGAAAATGAGAGAATAATGACAAATCTAATGCAACTCAAAGCAGAATTGTTGCACAGAAAAATGCATCCCACTGCTTGTGCATAAAATCAAGGCAGGCAGATGACATCCAGTTAACAGAAACATGTCAACAGTGAAGTAAAGTGAGAGTGAGTAAGAGAGAAGCCCCTGAGACAGCCAGGAACAAAAAATTAGTTGTCCTTAACAAGTTAAGACTCATCATTATATTCTGGCTTGGAGCCATAAAAGGAGACAGTGGTATATAATGAGCTGCTTAGAATTTTTAGGGTGTTTATTGCAATTCATGGAATACTTCTAGAGAAAAAAATATGGGGGGATGTCTTAGGTGAAGGTGAGGGGTGTGCATATACACACACAGCCTTTCTTTTTGTCTATGACATAAGTCCGTGCACGCGCACATGCTCAGGCGCACATGCAGACTGATGAATAGATTTAAGATGTTTATCCTTTGTTTCAGCCCAGAAACTTCCCTCCTGGTTTCCCATACATGGGAACACCCTCTGGGCAGACCGTGCTCTGATACATGGGTCGATGCATGTTTTCTCATGCCCCCGGTATCAGCTGGAGTGCCTGAGCTCAGCTGTGGGACAGCCCTTGCCCCGAGTCGCCAGCGTAGCTGGGAGATGGGGCTGGCATGCCCAGGGATGCCCACGCTTGCCCGTAGACATGCTGTTCATGGCTGGCCTCCAGGCAACAGCCCCACAGGGCCCTGGTACAAGCCTTGGGGTCACTGTGTTGGCTTTGTCCAAATGTTGAAGCCGGGGAAGACCCCAACCTCACCCCTCCATCCACATTTTTCCAGAGCCTTCCTTTAAAAGTTATTCCCGTCTTTGCCTGCATTACAGTATAGACCATTGGAGCATATAATGCTTCCCAACCCTGAATATTCCCTAAGCTTAGTAATTACAGTTCATTAGTTAGAGTGTGCTTATGAATAGTTTATAAAAGGTTAATGGGTGACTAATAGTGATTTTCATAAACGGTTTAGACTATTAAGGTAGTGTCTTCGAGTTGTTTTAACCATTTACAACTCTTTTCTCTGCTTGTAGCATCGCCCCACTCACTTTGTATGCGTGCAACATTCTTAGAACATCTCTCAATCCTTCATTACCCCTCTATAATATGCCCTTAATGCAAATTGAGACTGGATTAACTGACTGATGGGCAAACAGTGGACCCACTATGAAAAAACAGCTGCTGTGAGAGGAAATCAGGAAATAATTTGACAGAATTGCACCAGACAAACACTGCACAGCAGTTAAATGGTGGCAATAGAAAATACCTTCTGTAATTGAAATTTCAGGGGAAATTCACTTTTGCTGAATGTAATTACTGAAGTTGGAGTGTAGCCAGGAACCTAAAAATTAACACTCTTCCCTAACACGTATTGCCGTGTGAGTGGATGTCTACATGGAAATAAGTAGGTACTCAGACTTTGGGCTGAACCTTCACCCAGCCCACTGAAGTCCATGGGGTTGTGAGAGCAACTTTGGGTTCTGGAGCATATTTTTATAGCCCAAAACATAGGAAGGGGTGTGCAAGGCCAATAGGCAGCCTTGTGTCTTGGAGGGAGAGAGGTTCACTGTGAAATAATGAATGGTCGTTGGTACTGAACACAATTTCCTTGGGGAAATTGCCACCCTGAAAATAACTACTGAGCTGCAGCTGCCTGCTGCTGAAGGTTCCCATGTCTCTGAAGTTTAGAGCTCAGTGGCTAAAATCTCAGCCCAGCTGAAGTCAGTGGAGGCTTCTCCTGCTTCGCTGCCCTTCCTCCCCATATGTCACTTTCAATGTGCAAACGCTTACTCTCTTTCTCCTAAACAGTAATTGGGAAAACATTTTTCCCATAATTAGGGAGGGAAATTACATTTTTTGCAGTTTTTCTTCACTCTCCTCAATCTTCTAATAGCTGGAGATACTTAAATCTTCATCAAAAATAAATGAATAAAATAACCCCCTAGCTTTTGTTGAATTTGTTTCCTTTGAACATCCTGACTATACAAGAATCCATCATGTAGGCAGAGTTCATTTTGCAGTGTGTTTTAATTTTTGACCAGATCCTCATTTGAGAAGCAAGTTTATGACCCAGTTATGGCCCCATCACAGGATCCTCTTCAGAAGTTTAACAAGCATGCATCTTTTGTCCCCACAAACTCCATCTGTAATCAGTCTTTTGTGATATCTGGGAACACTTCTCCAGTGATGAGTCTAATCGTCTTCAGGTCCGCGCTCATACCCTTCTGTCCTTGTGCTACCACTGCACTCAGCTTTTCTTACTTGCTGGTATATGCCCTTCTGTGTCCTCTTCCCGCCTGCTCTCTGAAGGTAGGCTTTTCATCTCCATCCTCATCCTTCATTGTCCCCTTGTCATTGGCTCTCATTCTGGTTTGAACCCTCGCTAGCCCCAGCAGCATAGTCCTCTCTTGAATGCTAAGCCTTGCCTAGGACAGACAGTCATTTGATAGGATGCATGTGAACTTTTTGTCACTATGCTTATACCACTTCCAGTGAGGTCAGGATTTTGCCGTGGGTTTTATTTTTGCCCGTGTTTGTAAGTTACTTTTTTTAAAAAAAGCTCTTACTGTTAGTTTTACTGTTTGCATTGTACTGTGGCTAAAGGCCCCAGGCACTGTGTGAACAAATTTCAGGCATCTCCAATCAAAATACATGCACATGAAAATAAAGAGAGGGAGAACAGAAAAAAAATGATACAAAGGCCCAAGTTGTGTCTTGCTGATGATGTGGCAGAAGTGGGATCAGGATGTCGGTCTCCATGCAGCCTTGCCGTTGTCTTCTGTTATGACCTACCGTGCACCAAGGCATTTCCCCAAACGTGCATTTCTCTCCCAGATACTTCTGTCAGAGAGCAGGGAAGGCATTTTGACAATTCACTTGGAGATTTAAGTCCATGAGTCTTCAGCATAAGCAGGAATGGCCATTCTGTTGCCCATTCTCCTCTTCCCTTGCCATCACACCCTCCTCCTTTCCATCACTCCATGCCTTTGTTTGTGGGGAGCTGCAATTCTCTACAGTTCGAACAATTTCACATTCTCCCTGCTCGTGCCACCACTGCCTTCAAAGACAAAATACTTCTGTCTAATGATCCTGAGTACTACCAGCTGATAGACAAAGATCCTCAGAGCTCACAGTGGACAGTACCTCTTGTTCATTAAAGTACTACTGTGTCATCTTGTGAATGTAGGGAATGTCTAGGCCGTTTGGTTGGGGGAGTTAAGCTCAGTAATGGAATTTGTGAGTGGAGAAAAAAAAAAAAAGGAATCCCATTATATTTCTGATACTTTTACACAGTCTACTAACCCATGGTACATCACCCCATTTAAAATCCTGTTCGATAAAAAAATCGTTGTAAATTGATGATAGAAGAAATAATTCTTTATCCCATTACATGTTCCATATTCTTGGGGTATTTTATTTGAACCAAGATGGTTCAAAATCTGGGCTGAGAGTAGATATTTGCAATGATTAAAAAAGCCTTGTAGTTTGCCATATCAGTTTAACTTTGGAATTTAGGAGCAAGTTATTTCTGAGCCAAAATTAGGTTAGATCCCATTCCCTGGAAACCTGTTGACTTAAGTGGGGTTTTTCTAAGGGAAAGGCAGTCAGTCATAGTGTGCTTTCCTTATTCACTGCAAAACCTTTCTGAGACTGTTAAGAAATAATGATAAGAAGTCAATCCTACTTTTGGGAAGTTTGTTCATTTCAGTTAAAAAGTAAAATGTCCGAATGATTGTGCCATGTTCATGCTGTGGCCCCAACCGAGCAATTAGATTCATGCAGAAGGATTTCACATCCCTCTGAATCCAGTTGCAGGACCGGGGCCTGTCCATGTATATGACCATAAACCATAAAGCTGACAACATTTTTTTTATTCTCCTTAGAAAGGTTAGACTGTGATTTTGCATTAATTTAAGCCTTCCTAGGTTACCTTTATGGGTCAAAATTGACTTAATTCCACAGTCTTCCCACCTTCTTTTAAAGCAATGTGGCTCAGAGATTTATTAGACATTAATAAATATTTTCTTATGCTCCATCAACAAAATGTAGCTAATGAGGCATCTATAAGGATTATCAAAAATGCATCTAGATTGTGTTGGCATTAATATTTTATTTTGCTGTCAATATGCAATAAAACATGTCATCTCAAATTCACAACATGATTCAGAGCTATAAAAATTGATTCCTTGGTTGCCACAGATAATTTCTTAGCAAATAAATGGACTGGTGGATTTTTTTGCAGGTAGCTGAAATTCCACTTTCATTCAAGTTCATCCAGTTGAATTTGCCTTTTGTTAAAGATATTAAAATCATGATGTCTCATGTCACTAATGATAATGAAGGGGAAGATTGGCTTTAATGACATTAGAAGAGTCATTATGTTTAATTTATTGCTAATTAATGCTGCCAGCTTTCATATGCTTTGTCTAGCTGTCATGTGCTTGTTATATGCCTTTTTTTTTTTTTTTTTTTTTTAAGTTTCCTCCACACATGGTCCCGCCACACCATAGTTTACATACAACTGGAATCCCTCATCCGGCCATAGTCACACCAACAGTCAAACAGGAATCTTCCCAGAGCGATGTCGGCTCACTCCACAGCTCGTAAGTTGTTGCTTCCCATGTCTTCTTTTTAGAACACCTAAAGCATCACCTCTGTATGTGTGGCTTTCAAAAAGGCTTGCATTTGTGGGAATGTTTCTGCTGTAAAATTTGCTTTTTCTCTTCTGTTCTAATTGATTTGAACATAGTTTAACTACCAAAGTGTGTCAAAATAATAGTAACAGTCTCTCAGAGTCATTCTGTGACATAGACAGGTAGTTGCTAATTTGAGTCATTTTAACAAGGAAGTGGAATTTTCTGGATCAAGATTCAAGCTTCTCGACTGGTTTCCCTGTTAGTCAGTGTCCAGTTTGAAGCTGTGAGATACCAGATGCACAACAGGAGACAGAAAATTAGATCATAAATAGCTTGTTCAAAGCTGCAGAGAGAGCTGGTATCAAGTTTAGGTTTGAACCAAGGAGAGGCCTGTTCTACCTCTGCCACTAGTGCTTCTGGTGCTTCTTGCCTTTCATTTCACAGGTGAAGCAGAAAGGCAGCATTTTGGTTCCCACTGATGATGGGGTATAATTGTTTCCTCTGTCATCATGCTCAGAAGCTGTCATGTCCTGCCCCATGAACCCATTTTCCTGTGTGCCTGTGTCCTTCCAAGGTTGTTCTAGGTGCTTGGAGGGCACTTGGTGACATTGCGTAAATGTGAGATGGGTTTTCTTATAATGCTCTTAAAACTGTTCTCATACAGCAGCCAGGGTGCAGGCTCTAGAGAACCTTCTGGTCCTCTTCCTGGAGATTTCTGAGGATTAATGCTAGAGAGATTGAGAGGATTAATTTTAATAAATTCACAAGGGTTCTCACTGTGAGGTTTCTGTCTGTTGTATCTTTACCCTTCAGAAAACATCAGGACTCCAAAAAAGAAGAAGAGAAAAAGAAGCCACACATAAAGAAACCTCTTAATGCATTTATGTTGTATATGAAGGAAATGAGAGCAAAAGTTGTAGCAGAATGCACATTGAAAGAGAGCGCAGCCATCAACCAAATCCTCGGTCGAAGGGTAGGTAACAAGGGAGAAGCACAAGCAGGGACTGAAACTCGGTAGGATTCACACCTTCTGAATCACTGTGTTTTCCTGATACTTTGATCATGGATAATGGATAGAGAAGTTACTAAACCCAAGGCCTTGATTTGTTTTTTTGTTTTTGCAGACACTTGGGAAAGAGAGGGAGTTAGTTAAAAGAAGTGTTATTTCCGTGATCTGTAGGTGGAAAAATCTCAGAGTTTTCCTCTGTCCTAAACCAGGCAGAAAAGTAAATGGGGAAGGAAAAAGCCTTTGGATACAGTACCAGTATCAGCACGTGTGCGAGCTAGAAGAGAGGGGGTACCAGTGGGGAAGGACGGAGAGACCTTCCCTAAACCTGTAGCTGACATCTGGCGCAGGACAAGCAGTTCAGCTTCTGGACCCTCTCCGTTGCTCTTTGTTTTTATTTAGTTTTCTTAATTCTCCTCTCTCATCAGGAGATGCTTAGTAAACGTAAATGATTAGTTGTGACTCAGTTGAGTTAACTCTAGTTATAATCTGAAGTCATAAATAAAATATGAATGTCAGCATGCCAGATCATCTGCTTTAATTTCTTTTTTATGAAAATCAACTCTTGCTGTAATTATATATAAATAATACACTCTGTTGATAACATGCTTAAACAAAAAAACCTGCTTGTGCTTTTTATTCTGTCTTTTTCCTCTTTTCTTCACCTCAGTGGCACGCGTTATCCAGAGAAGAACAAGCGAAATACTATGAACTAGCAAGAAAGGAGCGACAGCTTCATATGCAGCTGTACCCGGGCTGGTCCGCACGGGATAACTATGTAGGTTCCTATGTAGGTGGAAATTTTTTTAGTAGTTGAGCTTGTAGAAATGTATATGTGACCTGCTGAACTACGACCACACATTGCACACAAGCACTACTTGGAAAGCGTGCCTCAGGATCCCAATCTGGTAACAACAACGGACGCTTCCCTCCGCAATACTAAAACTATTGGGGATAATTCCCAGCCCTCCGCTTGGAAGAGGCTTCCTGGCTGGGAGTAGTCAAAGGTTAGAGTTGGGGCAGGATAGTAGCGGTCTGTGAAGAAACTCTTGCCTTCACTTTTACCAGTGTCTGGAAAAGCTGTTTGGCTTGCTGATGATTTTAAATTTCCTTTTTTAAAACAAAGTTAAAATATCCCCTAGTATGGCTCCTCTCCTTTCCACCAAAAAGATGAATAATTAGTGTCTTGTGCTTATCTGTGTGAGAGTATAGTGGAAAGTGGAAGAATGACTTATCCTAGCTTCAGAGAAGGACTGGCAAAACCAAAAGTGTGACTCGTTTGAAAGTCTTACTCTCAAGTGGGGTTAAATGAATTATTCCACGCTCTACTGTTGCATATTTTGATTATGTTTTGCTTTTTCATGGCCATGTTATCTTTCCCCACCCCCCTCATTTTTTAAGAAGTGTTTTGAAGTTTGTGATCAATTCACAGAGTGGTTTTAAGATTGATTCCCCCCTCTGCCTTTCAGAAAGCCTGTTTTCTAGCTAAAAGTGGTAGTATTTTCTCTGTTAAAAACATAAGGCCAGCATTGTAACCATTTACTAGTAGTGTATAACCCCTTCTGCTATGAAGGGTGAGCAGTGCAGCTGGTAGTGTTTGCAGTCCTAAGCCCATAAATTCTTGACAGATTTGTGGATTGGTGGGAGCTCTAAACCCTCTTTAGTAGGATTATAGCATCATCTTGATTTTTTTTTTATTTAAATAAAAGTCAACTAAAACTCTCAAGGTCTCTAACTCTGGAATAAACCCTGCTCCGTACCTTCCAGGCAGACTTCCCTATAGGTTTGGGGACCATCAGCTGTAAGATTGATGTCAGTTATGTATACTGTTAACATTTTGTTTTTGTTGAAGTCTGTCTCTTCCATCATCATTCATCACTGCCTATTTCAAAAATATCCTATTTTGCCGTAAATCACATAAACTGTGGGTGTTGTATATGGCAACTTTACCTCTATGAGAATCTGAGTGTTTTTACAAGTATGGATGGGAAGAAGCCAGTTCAGAGTCTGCGGTGAAGTCTAGAGCAGCAACAGGTCTCTGTGCTCGTCCACCATTTCAGCAGTGAAGAATACACATGCTCACTTATTTAGTAATATGTACTTAAGGACATATTTTCAAATCCTTCTGTTCTTTCTTGATCATCTTTTCTTTCCGTTGGGCTCTGCCTCGCTCCCTCCTTTGGTTACTGTTGCAGGTGTAGCTGTGTGTGCTCCTCAGAGGAGACCTCGTTAAGCCTGATGAGGCACTGCTCCTGCTTAAACATGTTTTCCCTTTCTTTGAGACTGTCAGACCACAGGCTTGAGGTAGTTCTGTAGCACTGTGCAGTATCGTCTTCTTGGGTGTTCAGAAGGGAGTACAGGCTTGACTGAGGTTTCAGGAATGCTCATTCTGCTCAGTGACTGTGCCACCGGCAGGCAGATGGGCATGTACAAAGCCTTCAGTGTTTAGGACCTTTTACTTTTGTCCTCACCGTGTGAGTGCTGAGAAACCCTTTCTTCTCAAGCTAAAAAGGACAGGATGAGAAAGCCAGCGCTTTTCCTAGCGGCTTGATGCTGTACCCCCAAGTGACCTTCAGGGGGAACCTTCCTGCCTGAGGAGAGCATGGTGCCTTTGCATCACACGATTGCATCATCCACAGGATTTATTTATTTCTCCTGGTCCATTCAGAGCTCTCTGAGTTCCCTTCCTCCCTCAGCGGTTTGTAGGGTCTTGAGCCCTCCAGAAATCTAGTAGGGGAGAACCTTTGGGCTGCTTGAAACAGTGAAATTGTTAGGCATCTTGCATCAGGCTCTAGGATGAGGCCCAGGTCTTCAGAAACAGGAGCAGTACATTCAAGAAACACAGCCTTCAGCCTGCTCTTAAAGAAGAGAAGAGGATCCAGGGAATCCCTCGTGGCTTGTCGGTGTCACAAGGCACATTTGCTCTTCCTGAGATCTAATATAAGATGCTAAGTGACACTGAGTGCTGGGCTCAGAAGTATGTAAGGGTCTAGTCACCTTGCCTGACACCTGTCTAGAAAATTAGTACTAAAGAACGCTGCAGTCCTGTCAAAATCCATGTTGGTTTGGTTCTGTAGAGGGAGCTGCCAAAACAGTTTGCAAGTATTTACATCCACATTTACTTGCAGCCTAAGAATTTGTATAGTACCATGGTGGGAAATGTTACAAACCATCTGCTCGAGTCTTAGGAGGACAATCTGAGGCAAAGGCAAAACGGCATCTTCTGCAGAGCACTTGAAGTTAGCGGGACCTCTGTCAGTTCTTTGGTAGGAACAGTTTTCAAAGCTTGTCTTGAAAAGGAACAAGAAATTCCTGGTCCCTGGCTGACATTCCTGTATATCGGCCGTTTTTAACAGATTGATCCCTAAAGGGGTTATACTACTTTAATACCGGGCTTGAAGAGTTTGTAAAGGGCAGATGAGTCCTGACCTCTGTTCCAGCTGGCCCTTGTGTGAAGAAGTTATAAGGTCTCAAATTGAAATAGCCATTGTATTCCCAAATGCACTGCAGAAATTAAGCAAATATGCCACAGAATGTTAATTATGCAAGTGGCTTCTTTGAGATTAAATAAAAATCAGGCTTATGGTCCGGAGGCAGTTGTCTGGGTTTTGTTACATTGTTGAAAGCTGGAAAAAATTCACCAACTTTCACAGAGTTACTGTTAATCTAGATCAGTATAGATGGAGCAAAGTATGAGCCTCTTGTATCTTTATGTGATACATTAACTTCAAGATACCATGTTTTTTCCCTGGTTTATTCTCAGGCAGCTTTAGAAGCAATGCTCGTCTGCTTTGTCTGCCTGTCATGTTAGACTGATGGCTGCTGTAGGAATTGACTCAAAGCAACAACTTTCCATATCCCTAAAAATGACCTTAGAGGTGTCGGAGATGATTTCTCGGTAGCATCCAGGCTACAGGATTATGTGCATGTTGTTTAAAAAGCCTTTAAAATGGATGGTGCACACAGCTTGTGCCATCACCAGAAGGCTTTTATGAACAAGACTCTGCTTGTCGCAGCCTGGACAGCAGGGTGGCAATTCACAGCCTTGAGCAAGTGAGGGGGAACAAGTACAGAAGCCCCGTACCAGAAAGCTGGCTTTTGGGGAGGAAAAAATTAAGAACAACAACTCAAAATCCAATATTCATGTTGGGGGAATTTCTTACTAATACGTTCCAGGGAACGTATCATAGTGTGTCGCAAGTGTTATAGTGGATGTGCCAAGCTGAAGCCCCTATTAACCATTTAGCTGGGAGCCAGGCCAACCTACCGAGAAAGATGTCCACCACGGGGGAGAACCTCTTGGCTTCCCCACAGATATGTCCAACCCTTCAAAAGTGCTGCAAGATTCCTTCTTCTAAGACATGTTTGTTCCCTCTTAACCACAGGGGACTTCTGGTCTGGTGTCTTTTCACCAACTTCTGCTACTACTCCATCTTCAAAAGCTGGGATCTCTTGTGCTGTTCACAGTTGATATTGCTGGCCCAGAAGTCATTGGTTTTAGCATCTGGGGAGCTGTGAAAATGAAATTACTCTGTCCCCAACACTGGCCTTTTTGTACTGCTCTGCAAACCCTGTAGCTCAGTGTTAGAAGAGTTTTCTTAGAAAATAGCTTTTCTCATTTGAGCTGTGTTTATTACTTCATAACTCTTCTCTTAGAAAATGATTGTTGAGTTTCCACAGAACTCGGGCTCCCGGTTGCCCTCTCCCACACTGCTGGAGGGAAATGGAGAAAAGGCCTTTCTCCCTCCAGTCAGAAACTGTAACAAATTGCATCATCTTGTGGGACAGTATTTGGAAAAGGGACACAGTTTAGCTAAATATTACTGGTTATTTTCTTGTAATAGAGAAAAACATGGGAAAGGTCTTAGTTATATCTGGATTTTTTTCTTGTCCTGGCTTTGCTTCCTAGGTTGTCAATGCACTTATAAACCTGCAGGTTAGGATTTGCTCATTACTGTGGCTTCCTTGTCTGTTTTAAGAGTTGGGTTTGGGTGCTGAGGAACTCCAGGGGCTCAATCTGACCATACTTACGCACTCCCCACTTCAGTCTTCCTCTACTTCCCCTCCCTGCCCTGCCAAAATGTGACCACAAATGATTTTTGAAACTTCCAGATGCAGGAGTGTACAAGTGTCAGAATTTTTTGTCTTCATGATGATCTTGTCAAAAAAAAAAAAAAGCATCTTGCAAGTTGTTCTGCCCCCTCCTCAACTGCTTATGGCTTTGGTGGGTGTTAATGTTGGGGGGGCTGCAGTGAGGCTGTCCAAAAATCACGGGGTGGGCAGGCAGAGCCATCGCCAGGGTTCAGCATCCCCTTGGGGCCCCCCAGTCTCCCCTCACCGAGGGTGAGCTGTCACTCTGCTTCGGTGTCCTCCCTGGGGAGCTTCCTGCGCTGGCCTCCTGTGCCGTCTTGCAAGAACGTGTATTTTGGGGGTTTTTAAATCCTTCTCATTTGTGTATGTTTCCTGCAGGGAAAGAAGAAGAAGAGGAAAAGGGATAAGCAGCCAGGAGAGACCAATGGTAAGTAAAAATAAGTCTAAATCTCTTGCTTAGTAGAAATGTGGCAGTCCTGGTGTGACACTCCTAGGTATGGGGGAGGTGGGTACAAGTCTCCTGGCCTCACAGGAAGCCGGTCCCTATACTAGACAGCCTTTTTTTTTTTTAATGCACTCTAATTATTTACGCGTTATTGCCCTTCTAAAACTAGTAACCAAGCCATTGCATGTAAGAGCCTCTTGTGACGTTAGCTGAATTTGTACGTAGTAATTGCAAAGCCTTTAACTGCAGAGCCGTAGTTATAATGCCTATGCCATCGTTTATAAAGTTGTCTGCTTATTTTGCACATATATGTGTGCGTGTACGTACGTATGTATGTGTTTGGTATTAATTTGGGCTGTACCTGTATGTTCTGATGCATGCCTTTACAGTGGTAAATCGCACCCATTTTAAATTAAGGAGGTTTGCCATTCTATATAGAAAATTAGAAATACTGCATAGGCAATCTCATAGTCAATTTTGAAGAAGCCCTGACTTAGTTTTTTTGAAGCCTTTGTATAATTTGTTCTTTTTTTTCAGAACACAGCGAATGTTTCCTAAATCCTTGCCTTTCACTTCCTCCGATTACAGGTGCTAACGTCATTTTGAGTCATTTAAAATAGTTTATAAACTGCTTTTTAATTTTTTTTCCTGCCATTATAGATTTTAACATTAAACACTTATGACATTAAGAAAAAAATACCATCCACACGTTTTGACCGTATTTATTATCTATATAACTTTATATCTATTATATGTTTGATAGTATTTTTTAATTTTGTTTTTCGTTTTTGTAACAATTGCTATTAAAACAGTAATACAGTAAAAATAACGCAAGAGTTTACTAACTGTGCAAATTGAATATGCAGTATTTCTTTAAAGAGACTGATAAAGAATGGAAGCAAGTCAGTAATGAACCTCCTTAATCTAATGGCATTTTTCATGGCTCCCACTAAGTCTTCTCACATTAGCATGCATATGCATTTTTTTATTATTATTTTAGTTTTGGAATTTTTTTTAATTTACTTTTTCCTTTCTGCTCAAGCCTTTTCATTGCAATTCACTAGCTGTACTAACTCAGCACCTTGCCATGCTTTACGTTTTATTTTCTGGCTGATACTAACATACTCATTCCGCAATCTGCTTATTCTTATCCATTCTTTTAAATAAAAATTAATAAAAACAAATAAATTGAATGTTATTCCAAAAGCTGCATTATCCCAAGAGATATAATTTCCTTTTTTTTTTTCTTTTTTTCTTTTTTTTCTTTTTTTTTTTTTTTTTTCTTATTTTGTATCTGAGTTGAAGAAAAAAGCATGTTCAGGATCTAACTTCCATACTCAGCTTCTTTTCTTCCTTTTTCCCCCCCTCTGAAAAAAAGAGAATAAAAAAACCCAGCCCAAATAAATCTTGCCTGAAACATCCTGCTAGACCAGCCACAATGACTTTCCTCTACCTGCTCTTTTAAAAGGGAAAGAAACAGTCCTTTATAAAGGGATACTGCAGCTTTAATTGCAACAGCTAATCTCAAGAGTTGAATAAAATGTGATTATCACTTTTTTTAACTTTTAAATCAAAAGTCAATATTTTGCAATTAATAACAAGGACATTGATTTTTATTCCCTTTTTTATTTTTATTTTTTCCTTATTTTTATCTTTCTCGTTTTTCTCCCCTTTTCTCTCTTCCTCTCTCTCTCTCCCCCCTCTCCCCTTTTCTTTTTTTCCTCTCTCCCTTTTCTGCTCGCTTTTCTTGAACTCATTCAGACCTGAGCGCTCCTAAGAAATGCCGAGCGCGCTTTGGCCTTGATCAACAGAATAACTGGTGCGGCCCCTGCAGGTGTGTATAGTTTTCCCAGACTCGCTATGGCTGATTTGCAGCTGGTTTATTTGGTACTTTCCCCTTTTTTTTCCTGCCTTGTTGCTTTGTAGCTCTGTGTTGTGATCTAGAAGACACAAGGGAGTGGGACACTGCCATGAGTTATTGTCTCTCTGAAGGGTTTTGCTTTTTTTTTTTTTTTTTTTTTTGTTGGTTGGTTTATTGCCTTCCTCTTTGCTGCTGCTAGCCAAAAACCCACTGTAAAACAGCATCAGCCTTAAGCCCATCTGATCTATGGCTCAACCACGCTCCTGCCCTTCAAGCCTCCACCCAAGGAAAGTTGCTCCCAAAGCCCTTGATAACACGGCATTGAGTGCAGTACCAACACCGGACAGATGCACAGCGGTGTCGGAGATTTTTTTGTTTTCTTTTCTTTTGGCTCATTGTGAAAGTCCTGTTTTCTTTCCTGCCCTTGGTACGAGGGGAGATTACCAAATAAAACTGAGGTGATTGAAAGCTAAACGTAGCTGTAGCTAAGATGACGCAGACCGAATGAGCTCTATCCACCATTGTGTTGTATTTTTTGTGTTTACCTTATGCTAACAGATGCAAATACTCCAAAGAAGTGTCGGGCATTGTTCGGGCTTGACCGACAGAGTTTATGGTGCAAACCATGCAGGTATAATACTACCCATTAGGCCTTTGGGGAAATAAAAGCAATCTGTCCTCTTAGTGCATTTGTGTGATTTTATTTTTTTAATCTTTTTTCCCCACTCCCCACCTTTCTCTCTCCCACAGCATCAATTGCTAATAATCTTTGATCTTTGGAATTTCTTGCTAATTTAATGCCATTTTCTCTCTTTCTTTACCAATAACCTCTCCCTGGTGGTAGAACTGGGAACAAGAAAACCTGAAGTCCTAAAGCTGGCAGTTTTTTGGCATTTTTATTATTTTTTTCCAGATTGTCAGCAAAATGAATGTTTAGCTGGCCATCTATATATTGTCTCTCATTTGGGTCTATGTCCGCTGCCTCCAAAGGCTTTTTAAAAAGGTTCTGGGATCTGCAGCACTAGTGTTTTTTTCTCATAATTAGAGATGTAAAAGCCAGTGTTTACAGCTTATATTGCACTAATTTTTTTTGTGTTATCTGCAAAATTAAATAGCTAACTGTAGGCTTCTATGCCTCAGTAAGGTTTATGTAGGTATCTTTTTTTTTTAATGATCTGATGTCTTTTTTTTTCTGATTCCAAAAATACATTTTTTCTTAATTTTTTTCCCAACAAGTGAGCTGTAAACGCCTGAGCTCTAGACAAAACTAATTACAACTTTAGTAGGACAGTTTCCAGCATTAAAAGGAGATGAAAGACATCAGAGAGCCCAAATTTCGACAGCCCATGTTCTACTGGAGTTTAATTCCATGTATAACTCAGTACGTACTTCTTTCTTGGTGGAGGGATACCGAGTAGTTCTTTTCTCATTCCTTTTTCCTTATATAATCGCATTTGGTTAAATTTGTTGTTTCTTTGTTCTGATACAAGCAGTCTTTGAATTTGGAATATTATGATGGTAGGTATTTCAACCCAAACCACACTCTGTGTGTAGTGATTCCTCTCCCACATTTTCCCCTCTTACTCATGCCAGTCCCATGTGCTCCATCTCATTTAGAATGTAGATCAGACGTCCATCGTATTTTGTGTATGCACGCAGTCTTGTTTGTGCTTAGTGTCGAGGAAAACACGGATCGAGGGTGGTGGTGTATGTCAAAATACCAGATAAGGCACCAGAAATGTCTTCAATGGATTGCATATTGTCCCATCCGAGGCATGCTAGTACCGGGTGTTGGGGTCTTAGATATCAGTACCAGTACCTATGTTAAACAAGCTTTGAAAGCAGCAGTTTCTTCAAGCTTAAAAGAAGAAGGGTTCAGTCCAGAAGAGCTTGGTAGCCACTTCACTGTGTCAGGAGGCTTGAGCCTCATGCTAGCTAAAGACTCAAATGCTGTGTTTAGTTAGGCTTTATTCTGTGATTAGTTCACCACACACTATCAGCAGATACTTGTGTAGTCTAGAGATAGAGTATTTGAAGCATGTCAGGCTGTGTATGCCAAGTACCAGAACCGGGAGCACATCCTGTTTGTGTTGCTTTATCTTTCCCTAGCTGCTTAAATAAACAGCACACTTTCAAAACTACGTTTTATCAGCAAGGGGACTTTTTCATTCAGCCCGTACAGTGCTTATGTTACATGTGAAGCATAAACCCTCTCTTAACTTACGCCAGATTTTGGTCAGAAATCTTTGCAGCACATCAGAGATGACTTCAGTAGCGTAGCTGATACAGACTTACTGATGTAAACTGCTTTTCTTTTAGGTTGTGGTTGTTCGATGGTTTTTGGTTTGTTTGGATTTTTTTTTAATGCATGGAGGCATTTTATCACTAGGTATTAGAGTATTTCTCTCCTAGTTCTGGTCCTAACCATTATAACATTGCATTTGCTAGCATGGTAGCATTCTGTAGCACATCTTCACTAGATGCTGAAGATTGCTACCACAGTAGAAACGGAGACATCTTTGCTGACAGCAACTGAATAAGCCCTTGTCATCCTCTGTGGCTTTCACTTGTGGCAATTGCCGCATTACAGGTTTCCTGATGCTGCCCTGGGGCTAGTTTCAAGGGCAGCATGAGTGGAGTCAGGTCTGTTGGTGTTTGCCAGACTGATGTAGCAGTCGATGCTTTCAAAACAATGCACAAGTGAATAATCCTCACTAGTGCTTCTGAGGGTGGATATGTAGTATTTCTGTTCTCACTTTTAGGAGAGCAAAAGTGAAGCACAGAGAGTTTCGTGGATGTTTGCTTATTCCCCTTCACCAGAGTTGCTTGGTGGTGGTCTCTTCTGGTAAAATCTGGCTTTCAGGGTTTGGAGTTTTACCATCTATGCCTTCTGTCCCACCAAACCCTGACACATACATGACCACAGATAAGACATGGTGGGAATGGCACAGGCTGGAGAAAAATCCCCATCTCAAGCCATCATGATTGAAGTAAATGGCTTTTCAGACTAAAAGTGGCTACACTATTAAAGAGTTTAATATACAACAGAAGCAGAGGAAGCAATCTGCTCCTTTAATCCCAGTCAAAGGACAATTACTTCAGGTAGCAGACCAGTGTGTTTATTTTTAAAAAGGTTGTTGCCTATGCAGAGTCAGAAAGTTAGATAGACGTTTTAAGTCTGCTTTGCCATGGCAACTCTTCCATTCAAGTCACAGAACTTAAATAGTATTAAAAAAATAATAATAATTAATTTTTGTCATACTAGAATCAAACTGCCTCCAGTGGAATAATTAACTGCCTTGTAGGTTCAGAGCAATACAGTTGAATGGCTTCTGGACCATCATAAATGAGGCAGGCAGAGCTTGGGTATCTGCTTGCAAAATATTTTAATTTGGGGATGTGGGGAAGCCCTGCATTCTCCAGATTTTGAGAACCCACCTTTCCACACAGGTATTATTGGTGAGCTTTGTGAAGCAGCACTGTTCTGCTTTGTCACTGGAGCTGTACAGAAAGTCCAAACATGACCTGTGGCCCTGGTAGTGTTACACAGCTGAAGCTAGCAAGTGGTGAGACAGAGAAGAGGGGAGGGGAGAAAGAGCAGTGGAGGTGTCTTTAGCCAAGAGTCAGAGGCTTCCTGCATTGTTTGTTGACAGTAGAAGAAGTAACAGGTTCTGTTTTGAGCCCACCAAATTAATTCTTTTCTGTCTTTTAACATTGCTCTAATAAAGCATGTTTACAGTCTTTACTTGCTGTCTTCTATCTTTCTTTCTTTCTTTCTTTTTAACATTTAAGTTGCATGGTTGTCTTTAGTTTTTAGCATGTATTGATCTGCAGGCTAACGTGGTTAAAACTCTAATAGCCCTAACCCCCTTACCTTGCCATGTGGAACGTGGAGCAGAACCTGAGAGCCTGAGTCACTGAAGGAAGGGATGTCACATCACTGGTCCCTCACTGAAGCTGGTGGAAAGATGGGGTGACGGGGATGCTGTTCCCTTCCTGGCTATGGGACATGTTATCTCTTAGCTCCAGGATCAAGCTGGTTAGATCTCCCTTGCAGTTGAGAAGCATCTAGCCCCATTGCTTAGACAGCATACCTTGGTTTAACCCAAGTCAGATGCAGTTGCCATACGTAGGGGAGGACACTGAGGACCAGCAGTGGAGCTGAGGCACCTACGTGAGTGCGGAAGGTCACCCAGCAGCGTTCAGGTGCTGTGCCACACTCGGGCACTTCCTCTGATGAAGTCGCTGAGCAAGGGTGTGGTATCCACTGGAAGGGGCAAGCAACCTACTCCTTCACTTTGGTGGCTTTGTGAAGCATAGGTGAGCATCCAGAGGTTTTGTGGCAGAGCTGCTCTAGACAGACTTTGTCATATACTTCGGGCTGTGTGTCAGCAGTTCAGCACTTCCTGCGGACAGTGTGCTTGTGAGTAGGAGGGCTGGAGAGCCATCATTATTGGGGTCAAGGTGGCCACTGAACATCATTCTGCCAGATGCTGTGGTTGTTTGCCTCATTATTTCTGTCCTGCTGGTAGAATTGTCTTGCATATACTTGGCAAGGGAGATGGTGTGAAACTGTCATCTGTTTTCATTGCTCCTTTACATTATTAAGTGGACAGAGGGAGGAGAAAAGATCTCTGTCGGGTCACTTATTTATTTGAAGATGAGCGGCTCTTGTGAGACTCATATTCCCTGGTGTGAAATAAGCTCCATGTTGCTCCTCACCTTTGTACCTGTCGTCGTGCTCTTCACCTACTGAAATTGGATCCCGCTCTGGAGTTACATGGATGGCCTCTCAGAGGAAAATTTCCCAAAATGCAAGCGAGCAGCTTCCCAAATCTACCACTCCCCCTTAAAACAAAAAGTAAAAACTGAGTCGATTTAAAGCCACAACCTGCAGGCCATACAACCAGTTATTCTTGTTATTTTGGATCATACTCTGTTTATCCTGTTCTTTTCCTGTTTTTTCTTCTGTTTGCTTTGTTTGTTCGTTTTGTTTTTATTTCCCCTCTCTCTCATTCTCTCTATTATATATCCCTCCTGTCTGACTCTTAACATTTCTGGATTTGGTGTGGTTCTTAACAGAGGAGAAAGCAATGAGCAGTAGTTTGCAGCCATCCTTGCCTCCCAAGGGCAGTGCATCGTAAGAGACGACAGGTGACGCAGGTGTAGAGATAGCCCTGTTGAGTTGGACAGCGTTATGGGGCATCTTGAGATACCATCATCAATCCAGAACTTTTATTTTATAAGGATTAAATTTTTTTAATTTTTCTTTTTCTGGAAGAAAGTCAAGTTTGTAGATTAGCACAGTGGGCTCCAAACAAGTCTTACCTGATTTTCTGTTTATTAAAATGACTAAGGAAAGGAGGCGGCCTGAAGAGGAGGGGGACGAAAAGACAATTGGTGAACCCTTTCCCAATCTGTTAGCTGAGGGGAGGTTCCCGAGTGGGCTTGGTGCTGAGGACACCCCGCCAAACCCCCAGGACAGCGCATGGGGCTGGGGTGCCGCCCGCGCAGAGCCCAGAGTAGCTAATTGATGGCTCTTTGCTTTAGATAACTGTCTCCATCAGCATCTCTGCCCTTTATTCACAGATAACTCTCTCCCTGTTTCTAGGAGAAAAAAAAAGTGCGTTCGCTACATACAAGGTGAAGGCAGCTGCGTCAGCCCACCCTCTTCAGATGGAAGCTTACTAGACTCTCCTCCGTCCTCCCCCGCCATGCTCGCCTCCCCCTCCAGAGACTCGAAACCACAGACTGAACAAACGCAACCCCTCTCGCTCTCATTGAAGCCTGACCCGCTGGCGCACCTGGTCATGATGCCGCCGCCATCCTCGCTCGTCCTCGCCGAGAGCGCTGCGAGCAAGCCCGGCGCCCTGCCTGCCGCCAGCTGCCCCAACGGGGCCCTGGACCACCCGCCGGCCGCCCTCCCGCCGGCCGCCGCCGCATCCCTAGCACAGCCCTCGACGTCCTCCTTGCATTCCCACAGCTCGCTGGCGGGGACACAGCCCCAGCCGCTTTCCCTCGTAACCAAGTCCTTAGAATAGCTTTAGCCTCGTTAGCCCTTTCGGTTTCCTTTCGGGGGGATTGAATTCTGTTGGGATTTGGGGTTTTGTTTTATTTCCTTTTTATTTTATTTTTCTTTTTCCTTCTCCTCGTTGTCGTCCGCTGTTCGTCGTCGTTTCTCGGTTTCGTTTTTAATTCGTGCCATGTGGCTACATTAGTTGATGTTTTATCGAGTTCATTGGTCAATATTTGACCCATTCTTATTTCAATTTCTCCTTTTTAAATATGTAGATGAGAAAAGCCTCATGATTCTGCCAAAATTTTTATCAACAGCTGTTTAAAGTCTTTGTAGCGTTTAAAAAATATATATATATACATAATTGTTATGTAGTTCCAATAGCTTAGTTTTAAAGACTGATTTTAAAAATTAAAAAAAAAAAAAGAAGCAATTTTGAAGCAGCCCTTGCCGGAGGCATTGGTTCTTTATTATTTGTATTAAATACGAGCTTGCGAACCAATCATTTTACATCTGGTTTTTAAACCTTTAAGGGCACAATGAATGCGGTGCCGCTACTACTTCTTTTTTTTTCTTCCTTGTGTGAAACAACCTTTATTGTGATGTTACTTGTTATTGTTTAAATGTACAGAAACAAAGGGTTAAAAAAAATGTGTTAATATACCTTGTTCCATGGTGTTGTTCTTTTTGGGGGAGGGAACGCTACTCAACAATTAAAAGTATCACAACGCTATTGGACCAGTAGTATTTATTGCTTTAGAAATTGCTTGTTGTATCTGTATGTTGTCCCTTTTTAAATGTTTTTTTCTTCTTTTTTTTTCTTGAAACATTGTATAAAGGGTTTTTTTTTTCCCTTAGTGTAAGCATCTTATATATAACAACTCATTTGTACAAGGTTTTTAAGTTTATATATAAATGTGTATATATATATTTTTTCCGGGATTTTTGGTTTTGATTTCTTTTTGTGATTTTTTTTTTTTTTTTTTTTTTTTTTTTTAAATGGACATTCGCAGATGCATTTTTTCAAGGATCAATAGTGTAAAGAAAAAAAATTGCTTTAAAAGCCATTACACAGAAAAAGACTTGAAAATTTAGCAAGGGAATTTTTAGCAACGCTGTTTGAAAAATAGCAAGGTTCAAGTGTCTCCTGTTCAGAACTGCAGCTGAATCCCCTGCGACATTAGGACTGTAGGCTGTGTGCAAAATTTTTATGTGCCAAAACTCTCAGTGACTTTTAACTTTCTCCCGACAACTTTTTTTTTTTTAATGCTGTAATTTTTTTGTTCATCATGTTTTGCTGTGATGTTACATAGGTAGATATGTATGTAGTTTTAATGTCACCTATAACAGACGTGTTTGGTAGCAGATTGTCCGGAAAGCATTTAAAATGAAGAGGTATAAACCCTTAAGGGCCAAATTCTGTATATTAGATTATTCATAAAAGGAAAATCAGACTGCCACTTTTATGTACACTTACTACATACAGGTAGGTAGCAAACTTAAAACAAAAAAAAAACTAGGCATGTTGATGTTGCAAAAAACGCTGTATAAAGCTGAAAAATTGTTCATCTGTTCATTCAGTGCCATTGTAGTTGACATGAAGCGATTGTAAAACTGTCTCAGATTTTTCTCTGGTTTATTAAGATGCTAACTATAACATTTTTTGTGAATACTTTGAATGTTTCCTAACAGTTGTGATGTTACTGTTCCGTTTTATGCTCTTATTCCGATTTTCATTTTTAATGGTTTGGAAGCCATTTTTTGTAATGAATAAATGTTCATGCTGTACAGTATCTGTAGCATGCAGTTCTGGATTAATAAAAGCAACTTAGTATGTGCAGAGAATGACTTGTCAACTCATTTATGCGTTGACTGCATTTTACTCTGGCCAAAAAGATTTGCAGCCTGAGTGGAAAACTTTCTCCAAAAATTTTTTTTAAAATCATGGCAAATTGCAGACAGCTCTAAGTTGTGAGAAGTCCTGTGTTTCCTCTGGGTTCCCATGCTAGCACCTGCTAAACTTGTTTTGCACTACCCTTCTCCCTTCTCATCACGTTCCCTCTGCTCAAGCAAATGGCACGTGATTTGGCAAAAGGCAGATGGCACGTGAGCTAAAGTAATGTCATCCCTCTGTGTGAAGTGATCCTGACTGGGGGACGGGAGACCAGGGCTGATGATACCTATAGTTTTAAAATATTTTTGTTCAACCTGGTGATCCCACAACGCAGGACTGATGCCCTGTAAAGGACACACAGGATAGCGCTAAATAGTCAGAGTCCTTGTGCTGGCCTTCGGGTTTCTCTCCTGGATAAATCTTGAGTCTGTTTTTCAATATATATTTTTTTAGATTTTTTTTTTTTTTTAATGCAATGAGTCCTTGCAGCACAGTCCCTGCTCAGCGCTGAGCATCCAGCATCCACCCGACAGCAAGACCTGCAGATGCTGCGGGGATGAGAGTGAACTTAAATGCAGGAATTTTTATTAAATGGTTGATTTGTTTGGGTTTTTTAAACTAGGGATTTAAGCTTTGTAATTTCCAGGAATCTCTTACAAGTGGATAACCATAACCCCAGTCATCATGGAAAATTTCAGCTGTAGTAATTTCTACAATGGCACTCGAGGGCAATCAGATGCAAAGGTCTCAGAGCAGGCTTGTTCCCTGCTGTTGCGCCAGTGTATTGCTCGGGTAATGCACTTCAGTCAGTCTTGATGGACTCTGTGGGAAGGGTAAGTATTCTTCTTCGCATGTGAAACTGGGTTAAGTGATTTTCTGCAGAGACTTGAGAACAGGGCCATTTTGGGAAGCACAGCCCCAGTGCTGAGACTGTGCAGTTCCTCACTGTGGGGTCCGATAAAACCAAAACTGTCTGCGAAGTGGTTGTCGTAGCTGCAGAAGGAATTTGCTTTGTAGAGGGGCCGGGAAGTACTGGATGAAGTACTAAATAATGTTTAAACAGAATATATAGTACTTAAAATTGCTACCACTATTTAATGACTAATTTAAAAGGCAGAAGCCTTTTTTTTGTTTCAAATGTGTTACAGGATAATAATATACATGAGTATTGCTTCGTATTTCCTGTTAGAAGTTTTTAAGTCACTGTGAATCTTTTACCAGGCTCCATTTATCTCCCCTGATCCAAGGTCTGATGCCGTTTCTGTTGTGGTCTAACACAACACTCCCCTTGGTTTCAGTGGGACGTGTCCCCTCATCACCTGCGACAGGCATGTGGGCAGTGCGGTGGGACAGGACTCTGCGATGGGGAAAAGGATGTTACTGCGAAGCCTTTGTGGAAGATGCCAAATCTTGCTGCTGTTGGTAGCCAGCAAATTGAACGTGATACTCAAATGACTCTCCTGCTATTTAAGGTTTCTAGGGAATACTTTTTCTTTCTTTCTCCTAAACGTTTTGATTCTTGCTAGAGCATGGCCATCCATCAGCCAGACACATGTGCTGCATCTCTGCTGGGGATAACTGCTCTCTTCTAATGTAAAACATAGTGCTCCAGAGAGATCTTTGAATGCCATGATTCAAAGGAGACACCAATAAGGTATGATTCATATGTTCAGCAAAACAGTGTGTTCTTTGCTCGCTGCTTTATTAGTAAGCCTGTGGAGAGCAGGGTCCAAAAACACTGCTCCTGGACAAGCTGGTTTTCCTTCTCTGTGTGCGATGAGAGAGGCATGTGTTCAAAAGTTATGTTGAGCAGAACTTGCAAGTGGTGGATAACTCGTGCTGGGAACTCTTGTCTGCTGTGGAAAACTGGTATATTCCTAGGAAAGCAACGGCTTTGGTTTGCTGTAGTTTGTGCATTGGCTGTGTCCATTGACGGGCTTACACCTTCAGATTTGCCTCCAAATTTCCCTTGCTTAGAGGACCTGATCTGTGTCAAGGCTCCTGGGAGAAAATTACCATTTTTTAAAATATATTCCCTTCATGCTCAGGAGTCACAGCCAAAGACCCCATCAGACCAGGTACCCTGGAAACATGGTGGAAAGACAGCCCTTCCCGAACACTATAGGTGTAAAGTAAACCAGGGGTATGGCCTGGTCACCCTGTTCACGCCCCAGATCCACACAAGTGAGATCAACCTCCACAGCAGGGTGGTGACAAACTGGCACGCTCTGTCCTTGTACGGGGCTGCCACGAGACAGCATGGGGCCCTTTGTACAGTAGGTAATTCACTGTAGCTATTACTTCCATCTGTTTTTATGGGATAAGGCATGGAAGCAAGTCAATGTATTGCATGTTCAGGAGACATTTATTTTCCATTAGTTTTGTAAATCTCATTTTTCACTTAGTGTATGGAATTTTAAAAAGTTTAAGCAATTGCTGACTCAATAAAGCAGTGCCACATGGTTTTAAGCTTTGCTTAAAAAAAAAAAAAAAAAGGAAGGAAAAGGCATGAAAAAAGAGCAATCTTTAGAGGTATGTTCATTTCATTAGACCATAAAAAGATGTAAGGGGAATTCACAGTAGAAATGTTGCACGGGCCATCACAACAATCATGAAAGCAAAAAATAACAATAAAAAAATTGAACGTGTGTGACAGTGCTGCCCAGCTATGTCTGGCACACACATAGGAGTGCTTTACCACCTAAGACTGGGTAAAGATTTTGGGAGAGATGCTCCAGCTAAGGAGTACATTGAGTACAGAACCAACACTGAGCTTCAATTGTATCTGTTGGACAGGAAAACTAAAGCTTTAGGAGCCTTAAAACTATGAACATGCAAGTTTGCTCAGAGATTGTAGCAAACGCTGTATTATAAAGAAAGGATAGATAGGTACTTTGGCATTCTTTTTAAGACGTTCTTGGAAAATGTCTTGAGACTTTTAAGGCAGATCAACCACAAGTGAACGCATCCCAACCACCCATCATTGTCAATAAATGTCACCAGCCTGTTTTAAGGATTCTCTGAGGACAAGAGTCTGCCAACTCCTGGACTGATTTTCTTCAGGGATCAATCCAAAATATTCACTCATGACTTGCACCCATGTTCTAGGACCTGCTCTTTTTCTGAGGCTGAAAATACATTTAATTTGGGGTGGGGAGGTGTTAGCCTGGACCTCTAAGGCAGTGGACATCATGAAGTCATGTTGTCTGTCCCTCTGTTTGACCTTCTCCTGACAATTCTTGAATCATCTGGCATTTGGAACCAGATTTGACAGCGGCAGTCAAACTTTTGGAGATGATAAAGTCCCTCTGAGTTCCAGGGAAATCTCTGCCGGCACTGAGAAGAGAGGCTTTCCAGATCCACTGCTGAAGAAAGGCAGGGAGAGCTCAGCTGTTATCCATTCTCTCTGGCAGCGTCCAGATGGCCAATTATCACACATCTACTTCTGGACCAGCATCTGCGCTCTCCTGCCCAGCTGGCAGGCCAAGAAGATTAGGTAGGAGACAAGGAGAACATTGGGGTGTTGGAGGGAACAAGGGACATGGAAGAGAGTTAAGAGTATAGGGAAAACTGGAAATACTGCAGCTGCAATATGTAACATTATGTAAGATTGCAGCGGGGAAGCAAGGGCAGTGGAAGGACAATGGGGAGACAGGAGACACATCTGCAGAACACCGGGCCTTGCTAATGATACTGCTCACAGAGCAAAACTGCTCTGGAAAAGTAGGCGCTGTAGTATCTCATTCCTTGGACATGTTGCTTGCACCAGCTCGCCGAGGAGAAGCACATGCCCACCTGGGAGGTACCTGCTGGCAGGTCTCTGGCCAGGCAGGCTGCGATGCCCTGACCTGCCCCCCCCATCTCCCCGGGGAAAGATCTACAGGGTGAGAAAGGCTCAGGGTATGTCCACAGCCCTGCAGCATGGTGAAGACCATAGCTGGGTGTGCACAGCAAGAAGGGTGTTTTTCTTCCAAAAAAAGAGAAAAGATACTATTATCTTATTTGCAAACAAGCCCATTTGTAGTAGCTGATTCCCAGGCATTAGCAAACACCCTGGTTTTAATCTTCCTCAGAAAACATCTCCTTTGCTCCCTTATTTTGTGTTCCCTTTTGTATATGCTGCTGGGGTATTTTTGGATCTAACTATATCTTTTTAATCTGTTCCCCCCCGCCTCTTCTCAGCCCCTGCTGCCTCCCTGCCTGCTCCTCCTTCAAACTTATATAATGGCACATTATACAAAATAGCTAAGCAGGTGGTATTTTTAAAGACAGTGAGTGAGCATTTTTTTGGCCTAAATTTGGAATGAAACAGATGGATTTTAAGACTGTGCTTTTTCTATGAATAGTAACCGTTGTTCTCCACTGCCTTAAACACCAGTTTCAAGACCACCTCCAGCAACCAATCAGCACTCCGTTATTTAATTATAACAAAATTCTTAGCTCTGTCTGCTGCTGCATGGGCAAGTGGGGGGCACTGGATCAACTTCTGGAGCCAGGCAGACTTGCCAACAATAATTTTCCTTTTCCCAGAGGGCCGAGGGGGCCTGGAGCGGGTTCCAAGTTCCTCCTAAACTGGCTGTTCAGTTTGGGCTCCCTGACAGAGTGCTTGAAAAGGGTTATAGAAAGGCAGATAAATGCACTTCTTGTTGCAAGCTTCCCTGACAAGCCAGGCCTCCAGAACAGTGATCTCATTCCTGCCTCATTATTAGTGGTGCCAGATTTTTTCCATTAACAGGTAATTGAGTCGAAACTAAAATAAGCAAAGTTTGTTTTATCCAATGCATTTTCTTGCTTGCTTGTGAAAGAAAAACACTTTAGAGAGGGGTTTGCTTTTAATGTTCATGGAAATGTATTTACATCTTAGAGATTCCTCTCTGCTCTAGTGTAATTAACCTGACTGGTCTTTTTGTTATTGTTGTTTTGATTTTTAAAGCAAAGACATTGGCGAAGC